TCTCGTGTAGCTACAACTAGAAAGTGATCTGATATATCTGTGGCCCCTCTATAAACATGTACATCCTGAAGTCTACTCAACAGTCTTTTATCTACCAATACATAATCCAACAAACTACTGTCATTTCGCCCTACATCATATCGTGTATACTTTATTTATCCTCTTTTTCTTAAAATATGTATTACCTATAACTAAAACCCCTTTCTATACAAAGTTCAATCAAAGGGCTCCCATTATCATTTACACCTGGCACCCCAAACTTACCTACCACACCCTCTCTAAAAGTTTCTCCTACTTTAGCATTCAAGTCCCCTACCACAATTACTCTCTCACTGGTTCAAAGGCTCCTATACATTCACTTAACATCTCCCAAAATCTCTCCTCTCCTCTGCATTCCTCTCTTCTCCAGGTGCATACACGCTTATTATGACCCACTTCTCGCATCCAACCTTTACTTTAATCCACATAATTCTTGAATTTACACATTCATATTCTCTTTTCTCCTTCCATAACTGATCATTTAACATTACTGCTACCCCTTCCTTTGCTCTAACTCTCTCAGATACTCCAGATTTAATCCCATTTATTTCCCCCCACTGAAACTCTCCTACCCCCTTCAGCTTTGTTTCGCTTAGGGCCAGGACATCCAACTTCTTTTCATTCATAACATCAGCAATCATCTGTTTCTTGTCATCCGCACTACATCCACGCACATTTAAGCAACCCAGTTTTTATCTAACCTATTTTTGATAGGATAAACAGAAACAAGCTGTTTGAAGTAAAAAACAAGTACTTAGAGACACAACTGGGAACTAGACATAGAAATGAACTATGAGGGACATTAGGAAGAATTTTTTCAGTCTCAGAATAGTTAGGAAGTGGAATGATCTCGAATACACAGTGGAGATAGGCTCCATACATAGTTTCAACTCTTTCACTGTGCAAACAACCAAAATAAAAGTGCTCATATTGTACACATTTTTTTAAGAAAAAAATTTAACTAATGTGACATTTATTGTGGCAACGTTTCGCTCTCCAGGAGCTTTATCAAACCATTACAAACAATACATGGACACAGAGGGTATATAAAGGCTCAGAGTGAGGTGCAATACTAGTGAGGTAACATTTCGATGTTCACTAGTGGTAGTAGTAGTAGTAGTAGTAGTGGTAGTGGTAGTGACAAAAGTAATACAATATGATAGAGCAATTAATTCGTACAAGAGTAAAAGGATATAAAAGCTATTACTTGGGTAACATAAAAATAGGTTGGACAAATATAGACTGGAAAGAGGCAGCTTGTTTCAGTGTTCACTCTCTGTAATGTGCTTTGTGTAGTATAACAGGAGAGACTATGTGATGGCAGGGTTTACTGTTTTCAGGAGGATTCTTGCTAAGACTTCGGAGATGGTGAAGCTGCCGTTGTTTTGTTTAATTGTATTCGAAACAGCGATCAGTGCTGATTCGAGGCACTTGCGTCTGTGGAAATTAGTTTCTTTGATCACTAATTGGGCGTCTCTGAATTTCATGAGATGACTGGTGGAATTTCGGTGTTGTACACAGGCGTTGTTCAAGTTATCGTTCCTACATGCATAAATGTGTTCATTGAGGCGGGTGTCGAGGTTTCTTGCTGTTTCACCTACGTAAATCTTGTCACAGCCTCCACAGGGTATAGTGTAAACTCCTGCATTGACTGGTTCGTGGTGCTTGGATTGTGTCCTGGTTAGATCCTTTATTGAAGTGCTAGAAGCGATGGCGACTCTGGTGTTAGCTTGTGAAAGTACTTTTGAGACGTTCAGTGCAACCTGGCTGTTGGGAAGAATTATAACTTTGTTGGGAGTGGTGTTGATGCATGGAGAATTAATGATCTGAAGAGCTCTTTTCTTGCAGTCTTTGATGCAAAAAGAAGGAAAATGTAACTCAGTGAATGTTTGGTGAATATATGTACATTCCTCGTCAAGAAACTCAGGACTGCAAATTCGGTATGCTCTTAGGAAAAACCCGATGATGATGCCTCTTTTGGTCTTGGTATCTTGACTGGAATAGAAGTGTGTGAGATCATTTTTATTGGTGGGTTTCCGATAAACTTGAAATCTTAGGTTGTTGTCTACTTTGTGAATGAGGACGTCGAGGAAAGGTAGCTTGTCATTGGACTCTTCTTCTAGTGTAAACTGGATCGCCGGTTCAACTGCGTTGAGCCTTGCCTGAAGATCCCATACATCAAAACGTTTTGGAGTTATTACGAGGACATTGTCCACGTAACGTAACCAAGTGACGCTTGAAGGGATGATGTTGGCGAAGTGTTCGGGCTCTAGGTGTTCCATGTATAAGTTGGCTAGGACGGCACTTATTGGGGACCCAATTCCCATGCCGTAGGTTTGTTTGTAGAGCTTGTTATTGAAAGAAAAGCAGTTGAAATTAACACAGAGTTCAATCAAGTCAACAAAATCTCCGGGAGGTAGAGGAAGATTAAGGTCCTGATTGCTGTTTCGAATACAATTAAACAAAACAACGGCAGCTTCACCATCTCCGAAGTCTTAGCAAGAATCCTCCTGAAAACAGTAAACCCTGCCATCACATAGTCTCTCTTGTTATACTACACAAAGCACATTACAGAGAGTGAACACTGAAACAAGCTGCCTCTTTCCAGTCTATATTTGTCCAACCTATTTTTATGTTACCCAAGTAATAGCTTTTATATCCTTTTACTCTTGTACAAATTAATTGCTCTATCATATTGTATTACTTTTGTCACTACCACTACCACTACTACTACTACTACTACCACTAGTGAACATCGAAATGTTACCTCACTAGTACTGCACCTCACTCTGAGCCTTTATATACCCTCTGTGTCCATGTATTGTTTGTAATGGCTTGATAAAGCTCCTGGAGAGCGAAACGTTGCCACAATAAATGTCACATTAGTTGCACTTGTGTCCTTTTACTTTACATATTGTCAGTAATTCTACCAACTTTATTACAAGAAAAAAATTATTTATTCATCGGATATAGTAGAGAATTTTTTCCTAAAAGAAATGACACCAAAAATATGAAATCTGATGGAAAAACTTAAGAATTATGCAGGTGCAAATTTAGTGGTCTGGGCGAATTTTGTGTATCAGTGGTTTTGCCAACTTTGCATCCTATTTTAAGCCAGTTCCATTACTCATTTTAACTTAATTCTTAGCTATTTTGCTAGTATGCCTTCTTTTCTGTCAAATGAGTACAGCTATCAAAACTACCTTATATAGTGCACAGAATTTGGCCAACTTTATGCAAAAATTTAAAAAATTACAATTTAAAAACAGAGTCCAAAATAAACACTGTAGACATTCACTAAAACAACATTTCCTCTGTGCAATAATCAAGTCCTTAAGCCTCTCTTACATTACACTTGCCTTCCATTTGGATTCACCATCACAAAAAAAATTTAAGGATTACCCTATTTCTCAGATAATACAATCTAACCAGGAATAATTTGTCGTAAAGAACAAGAAGGCACAATACTGTGATGGGAACAATATACAAATAGCTGCACCATTTGTCATGGTTTATGGTATCTCAATTATTGAATCAGATTGTAAAAAACCATAAAACAGACTGGGGGATATAGGGAAGGCCTCACTAGTCCTCAGGAATATTGGTAAAAAGCTAATATGAAGCCAGTTTCAAGGTATTTCCAACCTTGGAACCAACCAAAATCATTTTTATTTCAGTAGTAGGTCTTCCACTCTATCAAATGATGCTAAGAAACAACCAATAAAACCATAAAAACATCCTAGGAATCACCTCAAATTCATTATTTTAAACACAACACAAGGGCAGTTTTGCTTTTCCCATTCTGCACCACGTGAGGCAGGATTTTCTTTTATACTGTGCACACTTACTACATAGACGCACTCTCATATCCAGGCCAAAATTTACCACTCGCAGCTTATCTGAGTGAGCTGAACTCACAATGAAATCTAAATGACGGACCCTGGCATCAATGACATACGTAGTTTTATGTGATGGACAGTCAAAGGGTAAAGAGAAAGCATAATAGGGCCAGTGAGGCTAGGAGGGAGTGAATCTGGAAAGTCAGGTTGAAAAGCAAGGCCAAGAACTGAGACTCAACCCCTGGAACCACAAAATAGAAAGTACAACTTGAGGAACAGAAGGTAATCAGGTTCAATTAAAGAAGAGGAAGGCTAGTTCCAATTCCTTGGATCATGAGCCCTTCAATGACATTCAATCTCCCCCCTGAAAGAGGGAAAGGGAGAGGTACCAAAGAATTTTTACTTTAATTTTATGACAGAATCATGATTGTGCCAGTCAGCAAGTTCATGACAAAGGTGCTCAGCCTGTACTAGGTCTGGCATAATTTCTCTTACTCAGTGCTGCTCCAGTATTTAGAGACAATCCAACCAAAAAAATTATTCCCAAAGTAGCCACGAAGAAAATGCCAGCCAGCATGTTTAAAAAAAAAAATGAGATGGAGATAGGAAGTACAGTGCTGGCACTCTGAAGGAGGGGTGTTAATGTTACAGTTTTATAACTGTAGTATATGCATGTCTCTGGCAAGACAGTGATGGAGTGAGTGATGATGAAAGTTTTTCTCTTTTGGGCCACCCTGCCTTGGTGGGAAAGGCCGATGTGTTAATAAACCATACCATGGGTGGGGTATATTTCTACACCATATGGTGTAAAAATATACCTAGTTGGATGAATCTTATTGAAGCTAGCTGGCCCAGTGGCTAACGCGACAGTCTGGAGTTTTGAGACACTCTGACCGCGGGTTCAAACCCCACCCGTGGTATGGTTTGCTTGCAATCGAGTCATTATGATTTCGTGAGTGATGTGTTAATAAATAAATAAATGAGTGTCATGTTTAGTTTACGTGAAAAGGCACTAAAGATATCATACAGACACAAAGTGCCTGATAAAAATACAATAAATAAATTCAAATAAGCATGAAATTATCCTAAGGAATTATTGTACCGAAACTACTTAATAAGTACCTGCAAGAATCCTTCATGCATTCTGGGTTGAGGCACTTGAATACTTTATCCTCTTTGTTGGGCATGATGGTCTGGAAATTACAAAATGGACATGCTACTAAGTCTTCAATTCCTGCAGCTGCAATTTCTTCAAGTTGCTTCCGTTCTAGAATGTTGGAAAAAATTGCTGGCTTCATGACTCTCTTAAGGGTACTGAGTGAGAATTCTGCTTTACATTCACCTTCTAAACATCGAAAGCTTGATCGACCTTGGCCTATTTCTTCCTCTGCAAACCTGCAAAGAAAATAACAGAATACTTAAAGAATAAAGCTGAATTTTTAGTTTATGTTACAGGTCTCCCTCAACATTCACGTTATTCACTTTCACGGTCTTTAAGCATTCGCAAATTCTCAGCCTCCAAATCATATTTACGTTGAGAGCTTTGAAGGTGATGAACAACATTAATAGAGGCCTAATTCTCTACAAAACTCTGTTTGTAGATATGAAGAAACAGTCTCAGTTGCCCATCACAATGTTCTTCACAAGGAAGCCTGCCACAACAGTCCCCATCCCTTTACCCAAGGTAGTATCGAAGCTAAAACCTTGGGTAGATTCAAATTTAGGTTGGATAAATACATGAGTAAGAGGGGTTGGATTTGAGTGAGACTTGCATGTGAACGAACAAAATTATCAATAGGTAGCGTTTATTCTGTTAGTGGGTTGGATTTGTGAAGGACCTGCCAAGTATGGGCCAACAGGCCTACTTGTGAATAAAAATTCCAAATGAAAAGCAAGAGTAATATAAGAGGGACCTGTAGCCGTGACTAATGAACAGAGAAAATGTTATTTTAGTGCCAGGAATGTCTGCATTGCTTATTCTGGATCCTATTTTGAAATTGGCATCTGTTGAAATTTGTGTGAAATCGGCCAAATTGCCAATTTCTGACCACTTTATTGGGTAGTTGAAATAAGTGAATGGGTGGTTTCTTGTACTCAGTTGACAGACTAGAAGTAAATAAGTTTATTCAGGTATACACAAATACAGTTACATAGATTATCATACATAGCAGTGTATGTATAGAGAACCTAGGATAGCCCAGAAAAGTCAGACAAAGTGACTTATTTCCAGTACCTGGCTTGGGCTTGCCATATATGATTTTTGGTAAATATTGTTTTTTCTCGGTTGTTTGTTGGGCTATCTCATAGAAACTTGGGCAATGTATGATGGAAAGATGCTTCTTAACGTACAACAAAAATAAAAAGACGGACGATAAATAAGGGAGTTAAGTAACTTCTCAGCCATTAGCCACCTCTTTGCAGTATATTTTCGTATGGTTTTTATGGTTGTATTCTCATTTTTTTTTTTGACTCATTTGATAGAATGGGAGATATATTACAGAAAAAGACATGATTTTGATTCCTTTCATGACGAAAAGTACCTTGAAATTGAGCTCAAAGTAGCGGAAATGTTCGATTTTTGCCAATGTTCAATGAACTGTGTAAGTCAAGTTGGTTAATTTTATTAAGTGTATTCTAACCTAACCACTCTGTAATCCAGCAAACTCAGTAATCCGGTACACTACAGGCCCCAATGATGCCGGATTTGCGATGGAGGACCTGTACATAATATATGCCCCTTACCAAGATATGGTTCCATCATTGTTCTGACCACATCACCAGAGATACCCAATAACTTCCTGGTATCTCTCAATGTATTACTGCCAGTGTACACAATGATATCCAAAACGAGACCACTTTTGCAATCACACAGTACAAATAACTTTATACTAAAGTGTTTCCTCTTGCTTGGTATGTATTGCTTGAATGAGTCTTCCTTTGAATAAACTCAAAGACTTGTCAATAACGAGCTCCCTGAAGGGATAAAAATACATGCAACACTTTTGTTTCAGGTACATAAACACATTTCTGATCTTATATAACCTGTCGGTTCTGTCAGGCCTTGTTTTGTCTGAAAAGTGTAACATATGTAACAGTATCAAAAAACGATTCACACCTATAATGTCACTAAAACCTGGGAATGAAATCAGGCGTTCTGTTGCCCAGTATGTGGTGACAGTATGCTTATACACATGTGGCATAAGCATTACTGGGGCAAAAAACAGGTACATCTCTGCCACAGTTGTGTCCTTCCATGATCTTGGTGAGAGAATTGTATTATTTGCCATGTGTACTCATAGTATGTGTTGGTTTCCCTGACAATAATGTCCATCAAGGGTTCATCGAAGAATAACTGAAAGCATTCCAGTTCAGTAGCATTGTTCCCAAGTGTACACGATGGCCATATTCCACTTTGTGTTTCATCAAAGTCATGGGGACTGGGAACAAACTCATCACCTTCCTGCCAATCCCAGATGCGGTCTGCTGGTGGGTTCTGGATATTGAAACGTGGTTGTGGTTGTGCAGGTTGTGGGAGTGTGGGGTTGAGTGAGGCTGCTTGTAGTTGTGCAGAGTCAGCAGCGTCGGTAGTAACGTGGCCCGCTGCTGGTGCCACATGACTCATGCCTCCATCACTATCACCACCACCACCTGCTGCCTCACTCACATCATACATACCCATCGTAATAACGTCATCATCTTCACTGCCAGGTTGTGGTGTAAGGCTATGGGATGTACTCCGAGGTTTACTCCTTCCCATTGGAACAGCATATGACACACTACCAGACCGCATGCTACGTCATACATACTGTCACTTCACTGGGGAATATTCACCCTCACTGTCGCAACTAGAGCTGCTTTCAATAGCTTTGAAATAACTATCACTTTCACTGCTCACATCTGAGTCTTGTACATGGGCAAATAGTTTCCTCTTTCTTCCTGGTACAGGTGAACGTGAATGAGCCGGCCCAGCACCAGCGGTGGAAGGTCGTGGGTCATCTGGGTTTTCATCACTAATTACGTTATCCTGGGCACTGTTTTCAGTCACACCCGCTTGAAAACCATGGAATTCACTTTCGCTGACACTTTCATCACTGTTAGAGCTATCACTTCGGAACAAAAGACCTCCAATCCACCGAGGAGTGAGGTACTTCTTACTGCGAGGCAAGGTGAAAATGGACTACCAAGATGGCATTCCCACATTGCACCACTGAGTCCCAGATTTTCTTCACAGGGTGCACACCCACCACTCAAACCCATTCTCTCTCATGTAGGCCTACCAGCTTTGTCTCATTTGATTTGAAGCCGCTAGAATTTACGTGCATAAATACGTCAGAAACAGTGGCGCATAAAACGTATATATACAACCGAAACAGTCAAAGGGTTAATATATTTATAGATGGGGTTGTAAAAGAAGTAAATGCTAGGGTGTTCGGGAGAGGGGTGGGATTAAATTATGGGGAATCAAATACAAAATGGGAAGTCACACAGTTACTTTTTGCTGATGATACTGTACTTATGGGTGATTCTAAAGAAAAATTGCAGAGGTTACCTGGAGTTTACCTGGAGAGAGTTCCAGGGGTCAATGCCCCCGCGGCACGGTCTGTGACCAGACCTCCTGGTGGATCAGAGCCTGATCAACCAGGCTGTTACTGTTGGCTGCACGCAAACCAACGTACGAGCCACAGCCCGGCTGGTCAGGAACCGACTTTAGGTGCTTGTCCAGTGCCAGCTTGAAGACTGCCAGGGGTCTGTTGGTAATCCCCCTTATGTATGCTGGGAGGCAGTTGAACAGTCTCGGGCCCCTGACACTTATTGTATGGTCTCTTAACGTGCTAGTGACACCCCTGCTTTTCATTGGGGGATGTTGCATCGTCTGCCAAGTCTTTTGCTTTCGTAGTGAGTGATTTTTGTGTGCAAGTTTGGTACTAGTCCCTCTAGGATTTTCCAGGTGTATATAATCATGTATCTCTCCCACCTGCGTTCCAGGGAATACAGGTTCAGGAACCTCAAACGCTCCCAGTAATTGAGGTGTTTTATCTCTATTATGCGTGCCATGAAGGTTCTCTGTACATTTTCTAGGTCAGCAATATCACCTGCCTTGAAAGGTGCTGTTAGTTTGCAGCAATATTCCAGTAGTGGACGAATTTGGGAGTGTGTGTAAAGGTTGAAAGTGAACATAGAAAAGAGTAAAGTGATGAGGGTATCAAATGATTTAGATAAAGAAAAATTGGATATCAAATTGAGGAAGAGAAGTACGGAAGAAGTTAATGTTTTTAGATATTTGGGAGTTGACGTATCAGCGGATGGATTTATGAAGGATGAGATTAATCATAGAATTGATGAGGGAAAAAAGGTAAGTGGTGCATTGAGGTATATGTGGAGAGAAAGAATGTTATCTATGGAGGCAAAGAAGGGAATGTATGAAAGTATAGTGGTACCAACACTCTTATATGGGTATGAAGCTTGGGTTGTAAATGCTGCAGCAAGGAGGCGGTTGGAGGCAGTGGAGATGTCCTGTCTAAGGGCAATGTGTGGTGTAAATATTATGCAGAAAATTCATAGTGTGGAAATTAGGAGAAGGTGTGGAGTTAATAAAAGTATTAGTCAGAGGGCTGATGAGGGGTTGTTTAGGTGGTTTGGTCATTTAGAGAGAATGGATCAAAGCAGAATGACATGGAGAGCATATAAATCTGTAGGGAAAGGAAGGCGGGGTAGGGGTCGTCCTCGAAAAGGTTGGAGGGAGGGGGTAAAGGAGGTTTTGTGGGCGAGGGACTTAGACTTCCAGCAAGTGTGCATGAGCGTGTTAGATAGGAGTGAATGGAGACGAATGGTATTTGGGACCTGACGAGCTGTTGGAGTGTGAGCAGGGTAATATTTAGTGAAGGGATTCAGGAAAACCGGTTATTTTATATAGCCGGACCTGAGTCTTGGAAATGGGAAGTACAATGCCTGCACTTTAAAGGAGGGGTTTGGGATATTGGCAGTTTGGAGGGATATGTTGTGTATCTTTATACGTATATACTTCTAAATTGTTGTATTCTGAGCCCCTCTGCAAAATCAGTGATTATGTGTGAGTGAGGTGAAAGTGTTGAATGATGATGAAAGTATTTTCTTTTTGGGGATTTTCTTTCTTTTTGGGTCACCCTGCCTCGGTGGGAGATGGCCAACTTGTTAAAAAAAAAAAAAACTGACCACACAGACCCATTCTCTCACATGTGGGCCTACCAGCTTTCTCCTGCTTGATTTGAAGCCGCTAGAATTTATACGTATTAATACGTCCGAAACACTGGCTCGTAAGATGTATATATACGACCAAAACAGTCAAAAGGGCTAACTGTAGATAAATATTCCTTTCATATGCCTTCATGCTATATACAGCAATTCATGACCCTTGT